TCATCTTCTGTTCGGCTGCCTATTGTTTGAGGTTCGTAGAAGGAGTTCTGGTTTACAGGGAGACTGTCATCTGAAACTAAAAGAGGTACTATCATCCTTGTCTGTTCGACTGCCTATTGTTTGATGAACTGTTCGGCTGCCCTACTGTTGTTTGTTCGGCTACCTATTGTTTGATGAACTGTTTGGATGCCCTACTGTTAAGTGACTGTATTCCTTAACACAGTAATTGTATTCAATCTTTTTTTTTTTTTATTTGTATTGTGGACTGTTGATTGTCTGTTCAGCCAATTGATTGTCTGCTCAATATTAATCTTATTGATTGATTGTTCGGCTACCCTATTGATCTCCTCGACTGGTTAGCTATCAGGCCTACTAATTAGGTCATTCAGACCTGCTCTTGTACTGCAACAGCAGTGTTCAGACTTGTTTCAGTGAAACCGTAGGTCAGAAGGACCTATTTCAGTACTGCAACAGCAGTGTTCAGTTTTTTGTTTGTTCTCAGTGAAACTGTAGGTCAGAAGGGCCTGTTCTTGTACTGCAACAGCAGTGTTCTGCTTTTTGTTCTCAGTGAAACCGGAGGTCAGAAGAACCTATTTCTGCAATAGCCTTGTACGGCTGTACTTTTTTGTTTGTTGTTTCATTTTTTATTATGATATCATGGGCAGTGAAGATTCAGCCACATCTGGAGTTTCCTCAATGCTGAATGGAATGGGTGGGGGTGACCTATCCTTTCCTATGGCTGTTGTCMCTCTTGATGGTTTAAATTACCTGGAGTGGTCAAGAGGGATCAAATTATACATCACTGCGAGGGGGAAGATAGGCTATTAATGGGAGGATAAAAGAACCATCCTCTGGGAGTGCTGAATATGATAGACGGAATCAGGAGAATAGTATTGTTATGTCCTGACTCTTGGTTTCAATGCAACCTCAAATAAGGAAGAATTTCATGTGGGCTGAAACTGCAAATGAAATCTGGGAACAAGCAAAGTCTACATATTTAGAATTGCGACACTATGCCAAAATTTATCAACTGTCAACAAATCTATTGAAAATGGCTCCCAATTTTGTTCAGTGACATCGAAGTTGACAAGCATTTTATCAGAGAGAAAGTTATCACAGGTGAAGTGTACCCCCTATGTCACTTCTGAGAACCAGCTTGCAGACATCTTTACAAAAGGTTTAAACCTTTCCAGACATCATGATCTTTGTGACAAGTTGGGCATGATTGATATCTATGCTCCAACTTGAGGGGGAGTGTTGACAGTTGTTTGTGTATTCAGGTTTAGTACCACAAGGGTACTATTGTAATTTCTCTTCTATTTATATTGTTCGATTGGACTAGTATAAATAATAATTTCTTTCATTCGCCCCCTAAGTTCTGGAGGGCTTTCAGTCACTCGATTCACCTCTCTTCTCTCTTCTCCTCTCCTCTCTTCTCTTGCTCTTGCTCAACAAAATCTATGGCTGTAAAGTGTAAGATTATGGAATCAAGTTTGAGAGAAGCCACTTTATGCAAAAGAAAAATCAAAGACTATGCCTGTATCCAATGTATTCGTCCAAAGGCCCCAGATAGCCAGGACCAACTATGGATGGTTGGATGGAACCCTTTTTTTGGGGAGGGGGCATGAGAGAGAGAGAAAGATGATGAGTGATGGCAAAGATTAAAAAAAACAATTAGAAACTCAACAGAGAGAACCAATATATAAGTTGCAACTTCTTGAACATGCAAGCAAAATTTGAAACAGGTGTAGAACTCCATAGTAGGCTCATCTTAAAATTTGAAACCAGAAGATTAAGGACAAGAGAGTTAATCTTTTTGAAAATGGCAGGGATCGTTCACAAGATCAAAGAGAAGCTGCATATAGGAAGGGCATGAGGAGAAGAAGCAAAAGCAACCAGAAAATCACTAGCAGGCTTTACCTCACCATGAGGAACAGTTATCACTGCAAGTACAGAAAACAAGTTGACCATGAAGTCTTTGGATATTTTGAAGATATCTCTGCATATGCTTTGAATAAAAATTGGAAGTGACCAATTCAGCCCCTCTTAAAACTATGATCAGCCCCCTTTGGTCTCCACCAGCTAATGGGTTCACTAAGTTCAATTTTTGTTCAGGGATGAGGAAGGGTAGATTGTTGCCTTATTTTCAGGCGCTGTTGGTGTAGGTATTCATTTAGATCTGAGATTTTGGCGGTAGTGGAAGCTGTACAAAGGACAAAGGAGCTGAATATTAGAAAGCCAATCATTGGATATGATTTAAAACTGATAATAGGCTATCTACAAAAGGTGGAAGATGGGTTTAGGAGCTACATTAATGAAAGAAGGAAGTTTAAGTAGCTGACCCAAGTTATGGAACCAAGAACACAGTTGGTGAAAAGAAGTGCTAAACAAGGGGTGGGAAGGAATCATTTGTTTTGGCATTGTTGTAATCTTGAGTATCTTTATGAGGAGAGTTAAGAGAGTTTATCTATCCCCTTTTTCTTCTTGTATTTGTATGTTTAATGATATTTAATAAAATGTTTCCGTTATTGGTCAAGAAAAAAACATGAGAGAACAAGACAGATGAATCTGTCAACAAGATCAAGGATAAAATTCACGAGGAGAACAATGAAGGGGAGAAGGGAAAAAGCACAAGCATGGCCATCTGCATAGCGACAGAAGCTTCAACAACCAAGATTAAATGGATCTGCCATCATCATTGTCAAATAGATGGAGTATGGATTAAGGGACTAGGAGTAGTTAGGCACTGCCTTTCTTTTATCGCTGCGTGAAGCTTGTTTATGTAAATACTGTTCCCATGTGCAAAGGAACAATATAAAAATATCAATAAAAAATAGGCTATATTTATGTTTTGTCAATATTATGCCCATAATACCCTCATTAACTATTAAATTAGTCTATCTGTAAGACGAGAAAAAAGCTGCATGCTGAATAATCATAAGGTGATCTCTTGCTATATAACATTTATCCACCATCCCCCATGACATTTCTATATTCCATGAGCCAAAGAAAATGAACTTAAGAAGTACCAGTATGTCAAAAAAAAAAACAAGTTTACTTGACCTTCACAAAGCTATGTATTTAAGTGCAAGTGAATCATGCATACTCCTAGTACTTTACTTCCAGAAAAAGTAATACCTTGCATGTACAAGAAGTGGCCCCAGAAGAAAGGAATTCTCAATAGTCCTTAAGCTGGGATCTTTTGGATCTGCATAGACCAAGAAACCACCCAAAAAAGTCTCATTACACCAATATCCATTCTTCTAACTCCAACAAATATGAGCAAAATTCTGAAAACAGGAAAGCATACCAGCAAAAAAGGTCGGAGATGCAACAGGAGTACCCTTTGTGTGAGCCATATAGAAAAGAGTATATATGTGAGGAATAAGGCGATAGCGTCTCAGCAATGCTAGCCGGCAAACTTCTTCGCACTAATGGACACATTTCAAGTTAGATTAATCAAAAAGCTTCACAATCTAGAAAAACAAAAATAAAACTTTAAGCAGAAAACAATCATAACCAAGAAAACCAAGTTGAAAACTGAAATTAACTAATATTCAATTCTACAAGTACATAAGGACATATCAAATGAATGGACTACACAATCTGGCATGTATGAACATAACATATTCTCCAAATATCAGTAATGCAAAAAAATCACCAAAATGCAGTATAGGCATTACATAGTGGTATTTAGCTAATAAGATGTGAACAATGAATTTGCAGTGAGCATAGTATTTAAAATTTAGAATGTCATTCAAAACCTGAGGGTGGCCACTTTGTCCAAAAAAATGCCAAAGATTAGGACCATACCAAGTCTACCCCTCCCAAGGCCCCAGATAGCTGGGAATAACATTGGATAATGGCCCTTTTAGTAAATATTTTCCTAAAAGAACAAATGGGGGTTAACGATTGGATGGTTGGTGTTGAGGATTTAATCCGTTTTGTGCAGATTTAGCAATAATCTTTTATATGTTTATTGTTTAGATAGGAAGTGGGGACCACAGTACTCTTGTTGGGCCCTTTGTTGATTGCCTTTTAAGTGTTTTATGCAGTTTTAGATGCTTGCCGCCCTATATGGGCATATTTGTCATTGTACTCCACTTTATATTTTTAATATAAATACTAGTGAAGGGGGCGGCCAGATAACGAGCTCTCTTCTCTCTCTCAAACCTCTTCCTCTTCTTCTTCTTCTCTCTTCTCTTCTTCCAGAAAACATCTTTTCTTTTACAGATTTTTTAATTCAGCAAGATTTCTACTGCTGGTTTACTATTCCAAGTATGATTCACTTACTAAGTCACTATAATTCAAAAAAAAAAAAGAAACAAAAAAAAGATATACAACTATAAAAGAGAAATGGATAAAAAACTAAAGGGACAGATAGAGAAGCCTAGTTAAGTCTCTTTATCTTCTCTGATTTGATATACATAGTTGTTTACTACAGTTTTTTGAGTCGTAAATGAAAAAGTATACTTGTTCTAACAATCCATGAAGTTCTATTAATAAATTCCTTCTTTTTCAGTAATTTTCCCTGATTTCAAAACATGAACTGATATAATTATATATGCCCTTTTATAATTATTAACGCATTTTCATAAATTAATATCAATAATTTTAAAAATTTTTACAATAGTTCAACATAAAATTTCCTATATTTTTGGCAAATTTATTGTTTTAAATGGTTGACATTTTCTCCAAAACTGGCATTTTAAAACATGGTCATCCCATTAGAGGTGATATCCCTTCTTCTCTGGCAGCCAATAAATCACCTGTTCTAGTGGACTTTAATGTCTGTAAAATCTTTCCCTTATGGACACGTTTTGCCATCTTTGCAAGCACAGGGACCTATGCTTGCATTATTTTGTTTTGTTCTACTTATCTAGGCTTTGGCCCTCATCTTTCCTTTTAGGCCTTTCCACTACTTGAGGCTTTCAGTCTTGTGTCTTCCTTTTATTAATGAATTTCCTTTCTTGTGTATTCTTGTACTACAACTTTAAAAACCAAATTAGGAAATGAAGAATTTCATTAGGATCAAGGGTTTCTTTTTTCATAGTAAGGTAAAATATCATGCGAATCATGATTTATGAGTTGGAAACCTGAATGACCATGTTCTTCTGCAGGAAACAAAAATGGCATACCTCTTTCCCAAAGGACCATGGTTCGTGGTCAATAGTATCAGTCTCAGAATGCCCACGACAGAATGGAAACATTACACCAACACCCATCCACCTTCCAAAGAGCTTTGGCGTAGCATTTCCAGCAAACCCACCAATATCTGGTCCTGATAATGGCTGACCACTGAGCCCCTGAAAAAATAAAATGATACTTAGAGTAGTGTTATACAGAAACTGAATAAACTCATTAAAAGAAATGTTTAATACCAGCATATTATGAAGGAAGCAACGCTCCAGAGATAACTTAGAAAATAAAGTGAAAAAGGTTAAGTAATTACCAAGAATATCATCATACCAAACCAACAGAAGTTAAGGAGTCCCCTAGGATACATGCTACCCATGGTTCAAAGTATCAACACTCTTTATACACAAATTTTATGTATCGAGAGTTTCAACCGACTCAAACCCTTTTTTTAACTTTTTGGTTCTAATAATTTGTCAGGGGATAAAGTCACATTACTATTTCACATTTAAAACATATCAACCCGGCCAGTTATTAATATATAGTGTATCAATGCCCTTGAAAATTGACAGGATATGCCCCGTATTGGGACGTATCGTATCAATATGCCCCTTTTTAGGGAAGCATGCACTACATCTGTCATGCATTTGTCATACGATAAAATAACATTAATCTTTAGTTGCATCAAAAGAAAATTCACACYTACCAACTGAAGTACCATGGAAATACTCATGTGCAAATGCTCCCAATTTGAAAGGTTATCCCCAGTCCATGTTGCAGCATACCTTTGGCTACCTATAAACCCAGCTCGGGTGAGAACAAAAGGGCGTTTATTCTCATCAGCCATTTTCATTCCTTCATATGTTGACCTCGCCATAAGCATGCCATACACCTAAAAGGTGCAAGCAATATAAAAGGGTTCAAGTTAAGAATTTCAATAAGACTGCCACCAACAACTACTTTCACAAAATAGTAGCTCAGACGAGTCTGACACAAAAACCATGTTAATTACATAAAAGAATTAACACTGTAAGCCGCATTAAGCAGAAAAGGCACCATTCTATTAAAGAATATTACATTGTGATAATGTCTGTGATTTTGATAACCTCCAAGTGCATCATCTCCTCTGTGAATGTTGCTCTCTGGCATAGTCTTAGTCACAGTCTGTGAAGAAATAAAATTAAGAACAACCAATAGGAGGAACTTCAGGTACTGAGTAAGATTCAACTGATTTGTAGATTTACCTTGAAAATAGCTGGTTCATTCATATCATTCCATATACCATCAACACCATTAGAAATAAATTCTTTTACTAACTTGGACCACCAAAGACGAGCTTTTTCTTGTGTAAAGTCAGGAAAAACACAAGGCCCAGGCCATACCTCACCTAAGATTGACAAGTAAGACTTAACACAGTTAAGAATAGAAAAAATGAGTATCAAGTATCAGGGTAAAAGAAACAAGAAAACAGACCAACAAAAGGTTTTCCATCTGCTTTTTGAATCCAAATGTCATTTTCAGAGCCACTATCATAAACAAAATAACCCTCTTCATGTTTAATTCCTGGATCAAGCATCCAGATTGCTTTGAAACCATTGCGGTGAAGATCATTCACCAATGACTTTGGATCAGAGAAACGCTCCTGAAAGAAAAATGTCCCATCATTTATTTGCAGTGAAAGGCAACCTCAGAGAGAGAGCACTCGATAGATAAGCCACTATGAACCAAATATAGATTTTTGCGTAAACTACATGAAATATGCATGTGGATGTACATGCATAGAAAGTACACAGATAGAAAGTGTTAATCATGCATACAGAGTCTAAAGATAGAACATAATAGATTTATCTGATGGAGAAACACTAGTTATTGACTTATTACAATACATGCTAAGTATAGTAAACAAAAAAAAGGATGACAAGCACTAGGTATTGCACCAATGGGCTGGATGAATTAGTTACAAGAGTATCTCTGGCTACAGGTCACTCTTTCAGGCATTGACTAGTCATCTAGTCAACTGACAAGTCAGTTGAGATCCATACCAACTGCACCACTAACTAGTCAATCTGATACTCATGATGCAGTTCCTAGGAAAGCTAGGTCAACTAGTTGATCAACAACTACACAACCACAAAGTTGTTTCAAAGTTTTATTTGTTTGTTTGTATTTATAATAGATTATGTTTGCATTCTGTTACATTCATGCTGTTCCCTTAAATAGTTGTAATGGAACATGATTAGCAGATGCTGTACAAAATAGAAAAGGGGCATAAAACAGAAGGCGGCAGATGAGGAACTTTTTACATTTAGTACCAATGAGCAGTTCGCTGGTACAGAGTAGCCACAACAAAGAGCAGATCAAATAGTCAATGTTGCACTCTTTCATTGGAAAACAAAGACTATAAGTCCCAATCCCAGCCTATCCAGTCTAACATATTTATTTTTGTAAAATAAAGACTCCAAACTAATTGTTCAATACCATTCTTTTATTGTACAGTTTAGTCTGTATTAACTTATTTATGAGATTGCATGAATATCATAAATTTAGAACATATCATTTTCCTATCCACTAATCAATGCCTAGGTTCTCACTAGTCATTGTATTTAAAAAGAGACGCTGAAACCAACCAGTCGTCGCCTACCATTAGTGGGGCAAAAGAACATTAAAAGAAATTTACCCTAGCCTATTTTCTTTATCCACCTACAAAGCTAGACTTCTCCCCTTTCTTGCTTTGCACACTTCGTCTAGGATATCCTATTCCCATCCTAGGACTTAGGTCTGAAGAGAAATCTTAGAAACTTCGAAGTCTTTGTAGGCCTTGCAGTTGATCAGTTGTTTTGATAATGTGATAGTTGATAACTTTAAAGTCTAAACCAGACCAAGAATCTGGACCTCCTCTACCTCAGGGGCTTTTTTATGCACATCTTTCTTCAAAGCTATCTCCCTCTTGCTGAATTCATAGCAGCCTTTCCCAGCAAAAGAAATTAGGAGGTATATCAAGGATTAACACCTGTGAAACTTTGCAAAGAGAAGGCCTACTAGGTGTTTATCCCCTCACAATTTTCTCACTCTGTTTGGTCACAGATGGACTCCTATTAAGGTGGTGAATCCTTTTAAAGCTTCATTTTTCACTTTGCCTAAAATAAGAGGAAAGTTATGTGGAAGTCTACTAGGACAGTAATTCTTTGGACAATTTAGGAAGAAAGAAATGGAAAATTTTTCAAGGGCATTGAGAGGTCTAAGGAATCCATCATTGAAACCATATCAGTACTGGTGGTGCATTGGATCAAAATTGTAAGGATTTTTTAGCACTTCTCTATGGATGCTATCTTTGGGAACTAGTAGTAGGTGGTCTTTTCCATTCCAATTAGAAATGTGACAATTTGTCAATAAAACCCACTTTGTCAAACCATATAAAACTTTGAAAAATGTACTTTGGGTAATCATAGACCCTCAAGTATTGAAGGGGTTTTACAGATTACCAATGACATATCATAGCAATGTAACTCAGGATCCATTAACCATGGAAGCTCCATAAGGGGTGAATTGATGGCAATGATTCAAGGACTGTGTTTGGCAAAGTCTCTAAGTGTTAATTATTTGACAGTGGAATGGGATCCAAGAGCTGCAGTGGCCTAGTTTAAAGACAATAGTAAAAGCTCCTGGCACTACAAGAAGACATTTAAGGAGATAAGTATGTTAACAAGAGGGACTGGAAGTGTATTTATGATTGGAAGTGTGTTGACAAAGAATAGATAATACTCATATAAGCCTTAACATCTAAGCCTTATCCCAACTATTATGGAGTCAACTCCATTAATCTTCTCCCACCATACCGTCCTGTTTAGTGCCATATCTGTTGTTAAATTATAAGTACTTATTTTTTTTGAACAAAAACATAAGGTATTGTATTAATATCTTTAAGTGATGTAAGAATGTACAGATATAGTTATGTACAGTGCTTAAATTACAAGCACTTAAATCATTTCTTACTACTTAAACCCATGTCCTTGTTGGTCTGCCCCTAGCCCTCCTAGCCCCTTCAACTTGCAATATCACTTCTTTTATGGGTTTTAATGCTAATGAGCAAGGTTCAAAATTTCGCAACGTATCAGCCTGTATCAGCTGATACGTATCGTTCTGTTAAATGCCCGATACACGGAACATATAGAAACCAATTGCTCGTTCCTTTTCACCTGTATCAGGCCGTTCCGGGTCTGTATCGACTGATACAGACCTGATACGAGCCAATACTCTAATGTATTGATTGATACATTGCAAATTAATTACTCTCCCTCTCATTAATTACTCTCTCATTAGTCTTCCTTTTATTGCTAATCCTTCTAATTAATTTCTTTCCCTCTCTCATTAATTACTATAATTACATTAATTACTCCCTCCCTCTCTCTTTAATTTTAAGACAAGTTTGAATTTGAATTTTGAAATTGGCACACCATTCTAATGCCTAATGCACATAATCTCAAGTGTAGAAGCTAAAGTAGGCCATAAGAAGATTTGAACCTTGGTCACACGTTTACAATGCCCATGATTCTACCACCACACCCAAATCCATTTTGGTGTTCAAATGTTATCCATTTTCATCCTTAAATAAACTTTTTTTCTTTTTAGTGGATGTTTATTGGGGTGATTATGGGTCAGGTCACGCCTAAGTCTTTTATGTATAAAATATTATATATAATATTTTATATTAAATAACGTATAGTATGCATATAATTTTTTTATATAAAATTTTATAGGTCAAGCCTAAACATGAAACCCAACTCCAAACCTGGAATTTCCGAGTTGGGTCGGGCCAAGGTGATCACCCCTAGATGTTTGTTAATAAATGCTAAAATTGATTATTAAAATTTTTATATTAACAAATATTAAGACATTATTTTGATTTTCTAAAAATCAAGGTATATATGCACACATTTTAGTTTTTCCATCATTTTCAACGGTTACCGATTATTTATTGTCATATATACCTTGTACTTTATTGATATTACTATATTTTTTAGAATTTATTTGAGTTTCATAGTGTATCCATGCGTATCTTTTTTTTCATCCGTATTTATGCATATCCAAAGCGTATCCCGATACATTTCTTAAAATCGCCTTTTCGATACMCTTTGCGTTTCTAGTACTTTAAGCCTTGCTAATGAGAATTCAAAATGATTAGTAATTGACATTTATAGAGGAAATCCTACATTCTGTATAATCATTTTGTAATTTATAAAAGATAGGACAAAATAAAAATCAATGTTTTAAAAAATGACTTGGAATCGGAACCGTTCTGGCCATCGATTTCCAAGTCGACGATCCAATCGTCTAGTTCAAACGGACAACCCGTTTTGACAAAAAAAGTTTAAAATTTAAAAAATAATTAAAATAAAAAACAGCCAAAAACCGTTGAACAGGTCGACGGTTTGACCGCCCGGGTCAACGAGTCATTGACCGATTCAACAATTTATGGCCAGGGACTGGGTTTGGGGTAAAACGGAACTAGTTGCCTGGATGGTTCCCAGGGCGAACAGTCCAACCGTCTGGGCCAACAACGGTTCGAAAACCATGATAAAAATTGAAATACAATTCAATAGAGAGCAAAAGCAATGAATTATTTTACCTCAAGATTAAATTCTAAAGATCTCTATCTATGAGTTTGATGGGAACTAGGATCCAATTACCAGTCTCACAATGGTGCTTTCTATCTAGTTATTTCATTCATTTCCTAAACAAAATAATTCACAATCAATTAGGAATAAAAGAATGTCTAAAACAACTTAATGGCAAGCAATTGGATGAAACCTGGTTATAATGAGTATGAAATCCATATCAAAAGGGGGGGGGGGGCAAGATCAAAAACTAGAAAATAACACACCTTGTCAAAGGTGAAACAACGAAAACCATCCATGTAGTCTATATCCATCCATATCACATCACAAGGTATGCCCTTTTCCCGAAATGTCCTGGCAATCTAAACATGTTTGTGTAAGTCAATGTTAAATAAAACAAGGAAAATTAATAATGTTATAAATGACAAGAAAAAAGCAAATTGAAGGTCAAAACTGACATTGCAAATAATAAATCCGAGGAATTTGTGATTTGGGCATCAAGTCAACAGAAAGCAAGAAATCTGTAATTTTACCTCCCATTTTAGTAGTTATAGATACTTGGGGAACTACATAGAGGGCATATTATTCAATTCTTTTTGATGTATCTAGTACAGGGATTATACATGGGTGTATGCATGACTTATTCTCTTTAACCATGTAGGGCTCTTGTATCTATGGAGCTTTTTGTGAATTAGTAATATAATAAAATATGTTTTGCCCTCTCTCAAAAATTAATACAATACCATACCATTTAGCTAAAGAGTATTTTGGTCTTTTAGAAGTTCATTAGCTCCAAGCCTCCAACCATGCTATTTGTCTAGGTCTTGTTTAATGTCATCTAAGTTCTATGGTTGGGTTAGTTACATTAGTATATGGTGACTTTTCTTCTTGCAATTTTTATCAAGTACAGTGGCAGTTTTGTAATTATAGTCAACTGTTCTACCTTCCCTAGCTCACACATATATCTGCTCTACGTTCATGTTATGGCATCACACTGTGCACTCTGGGCAGAAATTCCTGCCCTGAGCAGATAGCTAAGTTTTTCTCCCTTGGATCCATAGTCAACCTTTGATAAAAAAAAATAGTAACATAAATCTGAAAAGAGTAATAATATGATGACCTGGACAAGGTGTCAAAGATTGAAGAAAAACTGTTCTGTAGTGTAGATCCAATCAGTCACAGAAAATAAAAACAATGTACATATTAACAATTGTTCTTGAAAGGAAGAAATACATGGTAAAAGTGGTTTTTTTAGGCAGACATGAACAAAACCCATTCTCACTGCCAAGATGGAGGAAGAATATCAGAGTTGAATTGAAAGAGTTCTTGCTAGAGGAGTTGCTGCACCAAGGGGAGCTCTCAGTAAAACCGAGAGAAGGAAGAAGGGCCACAGTGTTATTGATTGGTGAGGTTGTACCCTGGTTCCAAAACTTTCTGGAAGGATCAGCGAATGTGAGCTGGAGGCTGATGTTGAAGGAAACACTCAAGACACGGAGGTAAGAATATATTGCAGAAAGAAGAAGAAACCTTAAAGGCTGGTTTGTAACATTAGAAGAGAAATCTGAAAGACGAAAGAAACAACTCATCGTTATACTGGAAGGGAAGAAGTCTGAGGAATGGAAAAGCATTGCAAATGAACTATACCAGATGGTATATAAAAGATCAGAATGCAAGGAAGATAAGGTGGAAGTAAGAGATGAAACAGAGGAATGGATGGAAGAATAATCACCAAACATGGTGAAGACAAGAATTCTTAAAATAATGCTACAAGAAAACAAAGAGGATTGAGAAAAGAAGCTGGTGATTACAGAAAACAGGCAGATTGACTGCTTGGAGGAGTTGTCATAATACGTGAAAGAAGGGCTGAATCAGTGTTTTAAAAGTGCAAGGTGCAAAAAAGCGCAAGAGGCAATTTGCACATGAGGAGCAAGGTGAGGCATGCACCATTTCAAAGCAAGGTGCAAAAAAGAAAAAAAATGTCAAAATGCAAAAAAAGCAAAAATAAAATAAAATATTAAACATAATATAAATTAAAAATATAAACTTAAATTTTAAAATAAATGCCTTAAAAAACCTATTATCTCAAATTAAAATACATAAGTATATATTTTTTATCAATATTACTTTTTATATTTAAATAATTAAAATACATAAATATAACATGCAAAACACATTCAAAATGGAAATTTAAAAATAAAATCAAACATAACATATGAAACATATTCAAGCATGTAAAATTTTGAATCTCTATATTTTTTCCCAATTGCATTATTTCAAATAGCCAATGTGATGTTAAATAGCAAGACTAGAAGAGAATAGAGAGATGGGAGGGCAATGATATGAGAAAAGATAATGGATGGGGCTGGTGTGCCCTCTATATAGAATGAAAAGGCATAATACTCTTGACTGTACTACTCTCTATACTGTGTGTCACAAAGAAACAAAAAGGAAGAAAAGCATATTTAGATGTCCATCTTCGTGGAAAAAAGACAAAAAGGGAGGAAAACAAAATATCAAGCAAGTTTGAAATGGCAAGAAACTAATTACCTTGAGAACTTTTGCATCTGAATCATAACTCCAACGGCATTGATGATATCCTAGAGACCATTTAGGAGGCATAAATACAGTTCCTGAAACAAAATAGAAGAGAATCATGAATAAAATTCCCTAAAATATTATTATTGTTTTAAATACATCTCTTTAGGTTTCTGTGATTATTATTAATAGAATTCAGAATCATTGCTCATTAAAAAAAGAAAGTCATTAAAAGAAGCCCCACACTGTATCTATGGAATCAAGGATATGCGTTTTGAATATTGTTTTGAACTAGAAGATAACTAACAGCCCATTTGGGAGGGCTGGAGCGTTGATAAAGCAGATTTGGAGAAACCATTGAAAAAATCTTTAAGCAGAAAGCCATGTTTTTTGGCTTTCAGACATTCATTTTTTGATCTCCAGGGTTTTCACCAAACATGGCTTACAGGCTGTCTGGGAGGGAGGGGCCCACCTTGCAAAGCCAGAAGCCACTGCATGAAAGCCCTCCCAATCGGGCACTAAGAAGTCTAGGACTCTTTTTGGGGACTTATGAAATTAAATCTTAGAGCTTCTAGGGAAATGGGTAAAATTAAGTCATTAAGGTCCAGAATATCCTCAATAGCTTATAAAAGTGTTAGTTGGGATTAGGTAAGGAGCTGGTTGTTGGGTTTCTTCCTTGCCTCTGGTGTTGTTTAAAGCAATGGCCTAGGACTTCTATTGTAACTGCACTTCATTGTTTCTGTCATTTCTCTTAATTACGTTCTATTTCTATGTTCCTTGCAAGCTACTTCAAGGTTCTTAGCTGTTCATAATTTCTTTTGAACAAAATATCTAACAGAAGGCATGCATTAAAATTAGAGAAACCAAAAGTCACAGGAATAGAAGCTCAAAAAGCTCTAAGAAATAACCAATTGCATGGGATAGAGATATCAGCACTGCAGTTGGTGAAGCAAAAGGACCAAATGTAATGACAGGATAGGAGGCTGATGCTGCAAACTTTATTATTGACTCCTTCCGCAAGTCTATCTGTTAAAGAAATTTTTTGAGCACTAAAATAGTCATATATCTTACATTTATCATGGATTTTTGTGAAAGGCAAAAAAACATTCAATGCCATCTATAATTAATTAGGAAATAAATAAACCTCGCAACGTCGTGTYGTGTCTGCAAGAACCCCAAGTGCCTCTCCACTAGGAAGAAGAGCTAGCACCCAAGGATGCGACTGGTACAAGGATGTAGTTCCTGAGCCATAACCCCATGCATCTGTGTTCCATGTAAACACCTGTAATAAATGGACATGCTTAATATCTGGATCAAATGTCAAGTTCAATGGGTGAAACACCAAATAAACACTTACTCTCTTCCCTGTTCTCTCAAGCATTCCACTAACTTCTCCTGTTCCATAAAAAGAGGTTCCAGTAGGAAACTAATGAAGAGAAATTGACATGGAGTTAAAAATAATATTAAGGATTACAAAAATGTGAAATTAAAAAAAAAAAGAAGCATAACAGGAAGTATAATARACTAAGGAAATTCCTAATGAAAACGTCATAAAACTAACCTCAACACTAACAATCTGTTGGTCTTGCACACATTTAAACGTTGGAATATACATAGGCACCTTTTGACTAGCAATTGTTGTGTCCCTTTTTTTCCTATCAGAAAAAGAAAGACTTGGAAATGCTGCATCCCTGTCATTTTCAGAACAATCAAACCGGAAAACCCCCTCCTCTAAAACAGGCTCAAAAACCATAGTTCCAAAGGACACATCTGCAGTGACTGCCTCCCCATCATATTCAGCCATTGTGGATAGAGACCTCTCAGCAATCAAATTATTCTTATACCTCTGCCTTCTGCATGTCAAAATTTGTATTAGGAAGTTTCTCTTCGGTCAACTTTCCTGTTATTAGATCATCCAAATATCAGAAAAAGGAAGCTGATCTTTATTAGAATAAAAAGATTCCTTTATAAATGACAATCCACATAATGAAAATTCCAAGTAAAGCTAAAAGCAAGATCTGTGAAACATACAAAACACCATACACGTAGATCTGAAGGCTGAAATAGCACATCAGGTCCCCAGCTAGTGGAAATTCTAGATCCTTAAAAATGCTCCATATACATAGAAATGGATTCATTTAAAGATTAGATTATTTTTGCAGAATTCAAACTTTATATTATTGAATTTGGACTCTTGCCATAATTGAAAATTTCCCATACCATAAACTTTGCCAACACTATTTACCCTTCAACCTGGCCCTACCTAAACCCAACCATTCAACAATACTTTCAGTTCTTCAAAAATCTTAAGCTTATTTCCTAAGCTTAGTTAATTATTTCTCATACACTATGCCCTAAATACTCAACCACTTGTTCCATCATTCTTCTATTTCCAAATTTTATTTAATATTTAAGCCCACTATGTTAACTAATATACTACAAAAACCTTTTCTATAAATTATTGCTGCCTTTGTTTGATCTGTATCAAATATATTTGTTAAGATGTGCCGAATAGGGGTAGTTTAGTCTTCTTCTGTTTATTAAGTAACTTGCTTATGTGGCTGTGTTATTAGAGTTACTCTGCCCCACACTTAAGTAAGGGCATTTCTGTCTTTGTAAACATGATTAGAATCTAATATAGATTAAGGGGGTCGACTGGATGGGTTAACCATCAGATTTTCGACAGACCCTTCTTCTTCTCTTCCTCTTCTTCTTCTTCTTCTTCTTCTTCTCCTCTTCCTGTTCGGACTGCTGTAGCAGCAGTCGAAACAATATTAATATGAGAATTCTAAAACAAATTACAATTTATTGAAATAACTCATTAACCGAAATGAATTCTATTTAAAATTCGACAGATCTAAAAGTAGAAATTTCTACGATGAACAATCATGTCAAGCTTCAATATATGGAACTATGAACACCATATTTCTGTGGTAATTCAACAAAATCATGTCAAGTCCTTTTGGTTTGGACTCATTGGATAGTTAATTGAATATGCTCCCTAACATATCAAAATCACAGAAGTTTTTGGCAAGCACTAACATGCAAGATTAAAGCCACAGTAATTGACAGACACATAAGCCTTTTTTAATTATAAGTCAGGTCCGTCAGGATAAGAACCAATAAACTAGCCCATTAATTCAAGTATGAGACTATGTGCTGCTCTGCATTCTCCATCAATAACTTGGTAAAGTAACTCTTTGTGAAGCTTCACTAAACAAGTTCATAAGTTTGATAAATGATCATGGGTACAACTTTGTTTGTCCTCATTAATTCTTACAAACTGATATCATGTTAGTTTTTTCTTCAGCCCCATCATTCTTCTTGATCTTATTCAACAATCAGTCAACAAACATAAGGTCAACTCACACCCAAGCACCTTCAAGCCTCTGTTAAGATACATCAATTCCCAAGCTTTTCCTTCCTTCATCTCTCAAAACTCCTTTTAAATTTATAAACTTAGGTCTTTCTTTTCAAAATGGAAAATATTTACCTATATGCAAAGTTGGGTGAAAACTGTATAAAAAAAGTTAAACAAGAAGTTGTTAAATTTTTATGATCAGTTTTTCAGTGAAAGAAGCATAAAATTATGATATCATCACAAAAATCCAAAAACTGTGATCAATAATGATATATATATATGATATGGGAAAGAGATTCTAAAAGTATAAAAGGATAAGACATCCTGAAAAAGCATTAAAATTTTTTCCAAAATCCAAAAGCTACCAGTAATAACCAAACCTTTTCACAAATCCTCCCCCCCCCCCAAAAAAAAAAAAAACTTCATATGTTTTAAGCCACATTTTTTGTAGTAAAATAAAATAAAATTGGTTTTAAGTCCACAATTATGAAGTTCATTTCTTTCACATAGATGCATATCCAGATCCCAGGAAGACATATAGAGATGGAAGTACTCTTCCATTTATTTCCTTCCAAATTCTCCAGAATAAAAATGAAATGCAAAGGCATCTACCCTATACAGTGAAATACAGTAGTCATTCCTTGTACAAATCCACCATAAAACAAGATTAAAATGAACTTTACAGCTGCAGTTTTGGAAATCCAGGAAATTCAGGGTAAGTGAGCTTCATGCTTCTGGGAGGTGATACCATTATTGCTTTTTCAGGATCAAACAGTATGGAATCTAAATTAGAGAAGAACTACTTGATGTACTTTAAGGACCAACACTTGCAAATAAATCGGGTCTTAGGGATGTGGTCATTGAAGGAGACCGCAAAACCACTATTGCATAATTGAGGTGTCAGACGAATCATCCATGGAGTCTAAGACAACAAATTTTAAAGAGGCCATATTTCTATTCAGGCATTACAAGCTGAGATGGTTTGGGTTCACAGGTCTGCTAATACTCATGGAAACTCTAGCTCAGGAAGTAGGGCTGCAAGTCGGGTTGCCTAATTTGAAGGGTTTTGACTACAACACTCAACAGGCTTGGGTTAGGGTTCAGGCCCATTGAAAATTTAATAACTTCCCAATCCAACCCAACCCAAGTTGCATTCCTATCAGGAAGAGGCCAGCAGACAGACCCCAGTGTGGAAAGCCTGTCCACTAAGAACGCAAAGAAGTTTAGGGAAAACTCTCTAACAGTTAGCAGATTTAGAAGCAAGAGAAAGCATTGAGATGAGACATTTTAGTTTCAAGTATTTTTTGGGTGTTGGTGGCTCATCTCTCAATTTGGGGTTGGGTGTCATCCTAGAGCATTGTCATGAGGCCTATTTACTTAAGGTCAGGATTTTTTGGATGTGGTTGATTTTATTTTCTTTTGGTGGGGAGTTTCAACTCTTGTTGTTTCTTCTTGGGTGACTTTGATTTTACCAAAAAAAATGTTGAAAGGAAAGTGATTCAGGGTTCAATTGGTGTTTGGAGGAGAAGCAATGAGCAGCCAGTCCACTAAGTTGAAAGAAAAGGTCTCCTGAATCTGATTACAGCTCTAGCTGGATTACAACACCATAATCTAGCAAGAAGACATTTCCAACAAGTTAAATATGATCAACTGCCTAAAGAAAACTGTCAACATCAATTTCTCTTGATATATAAACTAGACTTCCAATTTTCATGGTCAAATAGCACCATCATGGCAGCCCAAGTTCTAAACATGTTAATTCTGCAGAAGGGTGTAGTGAATTCTCAACATGCACTCAACCATACAACTAGATCCAATGACACCTGATTAATAGAGTTAAATTTCATTTTATATATACTTATTTTAATAATTGAGAAACAAAATCCATTTCAGTGGTAAAAAGAAATGACAAGCATGCAACAATGACATGAAATAAAAAAAAAAATGAAAATAATAAATGTTTCATTGTGCTGGGCATTCGACCATCTTCTGCAATCACTTAAGAACCAGATGGTCAGACCTTGACCTACAACCAGGCAGAATAGATTGAACCAAACTACTAAGTACGATTTTCCAAATTGTGTTTCATTGTCCGAATTCCTTTTAGGAGGTAAACTTCTAATAAATAGCAAGTAATGATACCGCGGGCAGTGGACAAAAAAAAAAAAAAAAGCCATTGTGTAATCTACGCATTCATAGATTAGTAACTGCAGATATTGCCAACATCACCGGCTCAACCATCGAAGAGAAAGGTAATTGGACCATTTAATTGGGGCCATCCATCCCAATGACGAGGTTGATATTCCCTTTGGTTTTCAGAACATTGGTTTGCAATTCCATTTTTTCAGAAGGTAAAATAGTAAGAATTATTCTCTGATTTTATTCTTAGGTATAGCGTTTAGTGTAAGTACTTTACAAATACCGCGTCCAAACTCAAGAACATACATTAAAACAGAACCATCACATTATGTAAACCAAGTAAAAATTCCAGCAAGCACAAAAATGATAAGTGAGATCATAATACAGGAGACATGCATTAGTTTCTCATAGAGCACAGAAGAAAAGTAATATAACTAAACAAATAAAGGGAGAAATGCATGATCAGGATGGTCTATCTCTCTAACCATCAGCCCAAATCCCTTGAAACTTGAAAGTTGAAACAAAACCCAGTAAATTCATTAATAGAGAAGGCCATTAAGGAGCAAATGCTCTAAGCAAGTGACTGATAACTGGTAAATCACTTCGATCAAAATCACCTGAAGAGGCAGAACTTAGAGCAATCGATAAGCAAGTCTGGACAGATAGAAGGCCTGAAAGATCTAAGCTTATCAGACTTTCCGGCCAATGAAGAAGATGAAGCCCTGATAAGGTGACTCGGCCTGTACGTGTTACTTAATAATAGTTCCATAGTAGCCAAAAACCCTCTTTATTTATTGCTAAAAAATAAAATAAATAAATGCCAGTGGACAGATGGTTGGGACTTGGGAGGAAAACGGTTCCCGCTTCGTTCCTCTCGTTGCCCTCTCTCTCTCTATATATATGCACAGTCTGCACACTGAATGGAGTCACTGACTGACCAGAGACGCAATGACGCAGTGGCCCGTCATTGCCAAAGCCTTTATAAAGGCTTTACCTAACTCATCTTATCGTAAACCCACAGAATTCTAAGTGCCTTGATGTTACCTGTTAAGTGGGACATGCTGAAAATACATGAGTTAAGATATTAAGATTGAGGAAAAACCAACGGTTGTGATGTAACTGACGATATTGGAACGGTAAAAGGTACCATAACCTCTTTTACCAGTGAGAACTTACCGAAACTCCGACGTCATCACTACGTGGCAGAATTCTGTGGGTTCACGATGAGATGAGTTAGGTAAAGCTTTATAAAGACTTTGGCAATGACGCACGTGCAACCCCACTAGTATTAGTAAAAGATAAAAGTGAGTAGGAAATCTGGGTTCGGAAGAAAAGGGCCGTGATGTTAACTGTTAAGTGGGACATGCTGAAAACACATGAGTTAAGATATTAAGATTGAGGAAAAACCAACGGTTGTGATGTGAGTGACGATATTGGAATGGTAAAAGGTATCATAACCACTTTTACCAGTGAGAACTTGCAAAAACTCCGACGTCATCACTACTTGGCAGAATTCTGTGGATTTACGATGAGATGAATTAGGTAAGCAATGACGCACGTGCACCCCACTAGTATTAGTAAAAGATCAAAGTGAGTAGGAAATCTGAGTTCGGAAGAAAAGGGCCTTGATGTTAACTGTTAAGTGGGACAAGCAGAAAACACACGAGTCAAGATATTAAGATTGAGGAAAAACCAACGGTTGTGATGTGAGTGACGATATTGGAATGGTAAAAAGTACCATAACCACTTTTACCAATGAGAGATTCGGGTAAGGGTCGGGTCGGGATTTTTATCTTTTACTAATATTAGTGAGGGTGCACATGTATGTTTCAGTTGCCAAAATTAGGGTGTTCACGGTCCAATTCAATGCAATTTAGAGAAAATCTCAAACCAAACTAGTAAATTACAGCTTGAGAATTTTCTAAGTCGAATCAAACCGTTTTTAGTATAGAAATCAAACAAAACCGTTTTATTACAGTTTGGTGCGGTTTCTAATACGGTTTAGATACTTTGGATCATTCTATGTTCTTTTGGGCTTAACCCAATTAGAAAAGCCCAAATAGCTCCCCTAAAAAGTAAAACTTAAAACTTTTATTTATTGTTTTATTATAAAATAAAGCATTCATTATATATTTATAATTTTACGAATTCCATTTAGATGTATTATATATAATATTTATATATCATATATTCATATTATATATATAATTTCGATTTACAGTTTACGGTTTGGTTCAGTTTATAAAATTAAAAAAACCAAACCAAAATTGTAAATCATAATTTAGAAAATTCTCAAACCAAACCAATCCATTTATACGTATAAACCAAACCAAACCAATTTGCGGTTTGGTTCGGTTCAATTTTGTGATTTGAACCATATAATGAACACCCCTATCTAGTCAAAATAACATATTTGAATTGAAGTGAGTAAAAAAAGAATTGATTTTCAAGTACCAAAAAAATAATACACAAAAATAACCCAGCAACAATAATAATGACTAAATTCACTATGAATTTATAATCTAACTTTAGCGTTATAATCATTATTTGAACAGTAATCAATCAAAGCTACTAAGCTAGCAAGTGAGCATAACGAAAATGACTCGTAAACACCACCTAACAATTGAGCATGAAAAAATAACACAAATGGAAAATGTAAGTTCAAATATTTTCGATCATTCTCTAATTTAAACTCCTCTTCATTACAAAAAAAAAAA